ACCGGGCCCCGGCGCCGCCCCTGAGTGACGGCCGAGCCCCCGCCACGGCGCGGAGGGCACCCCGAGGTCCCCAGAGGTCGACCCCGCGCGGGATTCAAACCCGGCCCTGCCCGGCCCCGGCCCGCAGAGATGCCGGCGGGTGTGGGGGCGACCCCGGGCGACTGCTGAAGGCGCCCAACCCTGGGAAGGGGCAGACTCCAAGGATTGTATCCAAGCCCCGGGAACGCACCAAAGAGGTTTGTACTGTGCCAGAGCCCAGAAAGGGTGAGGAAACCCCGAGACCCCGCCAGCTCCTCGCCTCACTGGTGTGACCTCGACTTGGCTGTGGGTGCTACCATCGGCCCCACCGAGGCACTGTGGTCACCCCTGGCTGATCCCTTGCTTAGCCACAGCTTTGGCTCTCACACTCCGCACCGTCCCCTCCACACTGAAAAGGGCTGACCAGAGTGACCAACTAGATTATGGTGGGAGTAGCTGAGTGTGGTGTCCAGGGCCGGGTCATCAAAGACACCTCGGCCTCCATTTGCTCTCCCAGACCCTCATTCCGGGGGATGCTCAAGCAGCCCCATGGGGAGGCCCGTGCCTGTGGGGTCAGGTCTTCTGCCAGCCCCAGCCCCAGCCCCAGCTTGACTGCTGCGCCACTCCCAGCCATGAGGTCATAAATGCTTATCATCGTTTTAAGCCACTAAGTTTTGGGTTGATTTGTTACACATCAATAGACAATGATACACCACATCAGTCTCAACCCAAACTCAGCCTCCTGTTGGGAGGGGTGACGGTGGGAGCACCCTATCTAAGTTGGGAAGCCGGCTGGGTACCCATCGATAATCTCACCAGGAGCCTCCACACAAAAACATCAAACTAGAGGACCTGATAGAGGAAGAGATTCCATAAATAACAGCAGCAGCAAGCAACCTAGGGGTAAGCTTAACAAGAAATGCACCAGAAAATAGAAATGTTCCTGAGAGACGCAACAGAACACTGTCAACAGTGGCGTGGAATGCTGCGCGCTGGGACAGGGAGGTTTAGCATTACATCGAGACGTCAGTTCTTCCTGAATGTACCTATGAATTTAACGCAGTCCCAGTGAAGGTACTAAGAGTAATCAGGGGTGGGATAAACAATCTGTTTAAGGTTCCTTTGGAAAAGTATAGCGTAAACAAGCAAGAATGGTCAGGAAAGTTATTAAAAACAAGAGCAATGGGAGAACTGGTCCTGCTACATTCTAAAGCACATTGTAAAGCTACTCAGATTAAGTCTGAGCACAAATGGATGAGCAGACCAAGGGAGAGTCCAGAGCAGACTGAAATGCACCCAGAAGTCTAGTATGTCATGAAAGATGGCATTTCAGACCACCAGAGAAAGATGGCTCATTCAACAAACTTTGTTAGAACATCTGGTTAAATCTCTACCCAACACCTTACAACAAAATAAAATAGCAGATAGATCAAAGATTTAAACAGGAAAAAATAAATAAATCAGCCATAGAGATACTAGAAGAAACCAAGGTAGGATGTGTTTATTAGTCATCCTGGAGTGGGGAACCCATTCCAGGTGAAACCCAGCCCCAGCACAGGGTGCCCTGGAGCCGGCTCCAGCCTTCTCAGAGCTCGATGACTCAGGTTGCAGCTTGAAAAGGCCAGGAGTGCCATGCCATTCACAGCACGGACGGCGACAACGCCAGCAATGGGCATCCTTTTCTTCTCAGAGAACCAGTTGTTAAACAATTACCAGCGCACCACTGATAAATTCAACCACACAAAAATAAAACGATTTTACAGGAGAAAAAAGAAAAACCTTCAACAGAGCCAAAAGCCAAACAGAAACTGAGAAAAGAAAATGCAGCTCACACCACACCTGAAAATCCAATCTCTCTAATGTACATTTTAAAGATCTTACAAAGTAAGAAAAAGACCCACAATCAAAGAGGAAAATAGGCAAAGGACGTGAACCAATTTTCCACCAAAAAAGGACACAGAAATTGCACTAAATGCAGTGAAAATGTTCGACCTCACTCTGAGGCAAAAGCAGACTGAAGCTGCATGGTAACATGTTCCACCTTTCCCACGGTAAAGGCTGCCTCCATTCCAATCACAACAGACCGAGCACCCCATGCCCACCACCCGGGCTCTGCTGGTGACTATCTGGCGCCCCCCGCCCCCACACCATAGAAAGGAGGCATCTCAGATACTCTGGAATGGAGGTTTCTTCCAAGATGCCTTGCTGAAAAGAAAACCAAGGTGCACACAATGCACCTGGACTAAAAAAAGAACAAAAAATACCTAAAGTACGAAATGCTGTTTCAGAAAGGGGAAGTGAGCTGCATGCAGGAGGGAGACTTCCTGTTTTCACTCTCCCCTATGCACCTTTGATTTTTGTACCGAGCGCATATCATCCTTTCTCAGACATAAATGAAACCGAGTACAAACCGTGGAGCCTTGCACAGAGTGGCCTGGGAGAGCCGTGGGAGTTCTCCAGCCCCTCTCCAGTGGCACTCACACTGGAGCAACATCCCCTTTACTCTGGCCTCCAGATCATGTAAGTGCTGACGGCACTTCATCATCCAGCCCAGACTCTTCCCTGGGCCCCAGATGCCCACATCCCTCGGCCTCTGCAGCACCTTCTCTTGAATGTCAAGTGAGCATCTCACCCTCTGCTGACCTGAACCTCTCTCCTCCTGCTACCCCAACAGCCTCCTTGTTCCAGCAAAGGGACAAGACCATCCTCCAGGAGCCCAGGCTGCAAGGAAGCAGCCTGGACTGTTCCTCACACCCTACATCCAACCATCAGCAAATGCTGTCGCTCAAAATCAAAGGTGAGCCATAACCCAGGGACTCCTTCCTAGCCTAGAATCCTACAGCAGAATCCCTAGAGTCCATGCTCCCACACTTCTCCCCATTATGAACACAGAAGTCCTTTTAAAACTGCTCAGGAATGAATACCAACTAATATGTGCAGAGGGAAGATGTCTAGAAAGGGACGATGTTTGCAATCACTGTAGTAATAGATCAGACACCGCCTGAGCCAAGCGATCAGAGCTCACATCACCAGATAAAACTGACCTCTCCAGCCCCCAATACGAGGCCCCCAGGAAGTCACAACCCCTCCTGTGGTTCCTGCCAAAAATTCAGGACCTCAACCCAATCACGAGGAAACAGCACACGGAGCCAAAGTGGGGAGCACAGCGGCTTTAGACTATGAAAACACACATATATGTATGAAGTTATTGAACAGTTAGCAGGATTTTAATACAGGCCAGGTATCAGCAATATTGTGTCAATGTCAAATTTCCCGATGTAGTCATTGACAGTGTCTGTGTTCTTAGGAACCATACACTTAAGTGTTAAGGGGAAAGGGGCCTGATGTCTTATTCTCAAACAGTTCAGGAATAAAGGTATATGTATGTATATAATAAAGCAAATAGGGAAAAGTGTAAGCAATTTGTGAATCTAGATAGAGTATATAGTTCTTTGTACTATTTTTGCAACTTTTGTGTAATTTTGTTTAAATTTTATCACACCAAAAAGTAAACAAACTGGGCCGGCCCGGTGGCGCACTTGGTAGAATACAGCACTTGGGAGCGTGGTGGCGCTCCCGCCGAGGGTTCGGATCCCACATAGAGACCGTTCCGCTCACTGGTTGAGCACGGTGCGGGTGCGACACCGAGGGTTGCGATCGTTACCGGTCACGAAAAAAGACAAAAAGGAAAAAAAAAAAAAGTAAACAAACTATCTACCAACACGCCCCCAGCTTCATCTTATCTGTGGAACCAGGCCATCCTCACCCACATTCCCAGTCTTGCCTCGCCCTCTGCTGCCAGTGCCAGCGCTTGAACCCCGCAGAAAAACCCAAACATCCTCCCCAGCATCCCTGCACAGTGTGGAGGTCCCCTCGGTGGGGGGCCCCGGCCTCAGTTTACCTGTGACAGCAGCAGCTCATGTCCACTCCACTGAGTCCTAGCGGCCTCTGGTTGCGACCCACCTAGGCAGAACTTAACACCCTGCTCCCAGCCCTCTCAGGGCCCCCCCGGCCCCCTCCTCATCCCGGCCCAGGAGTGAAGGAAGTGACTGAGTGGGAGGGTGGGGATGGGCTGGGGTGGATTCTAGTCTCAGCAGTGTCCCAGGAGGGTCCTAGCTTAGCCTGGGGGGAAGGGCACAGCAGTCCTTCCTTCTGAGCTGTGGGGAGAGGTGTGGGGGCCACATCTCTACTGGTAGAGGGACCAGCTGGGGATCTGAGGGGGTTTTGCCCCAGGGTCTACACCCCCTTGGTCCCCCCAGCTGTGCTCTCCCTCCCCCCTCCCCATAGTGTCTCTGTGCCACCCCACTGACCACCTCACCCCCACCCTGGACTCTGAACCCTGCCTGGAGCTCTCAGACTAGACCTGGAGCAGGAGGCCTGGGGGATGGGAGTTACAGAGCTGGGGGGAACCCAGGTGAAGACTTAAAAGATGACCCCAATAGGGTCCCTCCCCCACTGCCCTGAAACTTGACCCCACTTGAGGTCCCCTCGTGGGATGTCCCTAGGTGCCCACAGCCCCTTGGTGGCCCTCTCTAATCATTCTGGGTTCCCCTCACCCCCACCCCCCACCCCAACCCCCGTGTGGCCAACTTTTGGATGACTAGGGGGAGGGGCCACATTCCAGGGGAGGGGCCACACCCCGGATGAGGAAGGGCAGGGAGGATTTGCAGTGGTCCCAACAGAGTGGGGGAGCCTCCTGCTGGGGCTGGGGTGCTGTGGTCTGCAACGTGTGCAGACCCCGCCTGGCCACTCTGGTCACTCTGTCCGTGCCGAGCCCGTGTGCTCCGCTGGACAAGGCGGCAAAGGCTCAGAGCACACGGCGGCCCTCGGGCCAGCACCCTTTCCACCCCAGTGACCTGGAAACAGAGATATGGCCCGCCCCGGATGGCCAGAGATCCAAGTCCACACTTCTGGCCTCCAAGTCTCACCCTTCACCGTGCAGCCCGCCCTTCACCTCCCAGGGAAAGTCCACTTGGCACAACGCCTGGGACTGGAGCCTCCAGGACCTGCTGCAGTAGATGGGGCTGGCTGGGGATCTGGGGAAAGTCCCTCTCCTGCAATCCAGAATATGCAGAACACAGCCACAAATGACAGGACAGACCTGGACGGATGGACAGAAAGCCCAGCAGCCCCACGTGTGCAGTTGGCTGATCTTCATCAAGGCCCCAGACAAGGAGGGAGAGTCTCCAACACAGGTGCTGGGACAACTGAGTAAACAAGGAGAAGGGGAATCTCAACCCCCTGTCACTCAGCACACAACAGATGGACCACCTTCACATTAGAGCTCAACTCTAACACTTCTAGAAGAAAACATAGGAGAAACCTTCACATCCTTGGGGCAGACAAATACTCCTTCAAAAGGACATGAGGGGCTGGTCAGGTAGCTCCTTGATTAGAGCACAGTGTTATAACACCAAAGTCAGGGGTTCGGATCCCCATACCAGCCAGCCACCAGAAAAATAATACATAAAAAAAAGAACATGAAAAACACTAAAATAAAGCAAAAAATTGATAAGCTAGGTTTCATAAATGTCAAAAATGTCTGCTCTTCAAAAGACACCAGAGAGAAACATGAAAATGCAAGCCAGTGACAGAGAGAAAATATATTCAAAACACACATACAGGATGACCTGTGTGCAGATCTATTAAAAAATCTTAAAACCCAAAAATTGTGCAGTTTTTAAAAAAGACACTTCACACAAGAAAATATATAAATGACCAAAAGCACGTGAAAACAGGTCAGCATCTAGTCATCAGGGAAGTGCAAATTGAAACCCAATGAGATGTCACTTCGCACCTGCATGACGAGGAGCCCAGAGGCTAGAGACATCACAGGTCAGGGAACGTGGAGCAACTGGAGCTCCCAACAGTGCTGGGGCACACAAATGCCTGATGTGGACCAGCAAGGACTCTCCTTCACGCTGGTGGGAACACGGAACGGTGCAGGCACTTTCTTACAAAACTAAACATACTCTCACTGTAGGACCCAGCAATCGTGCTCCTAGAATTGACCCAAAGGAGCTGAGAACCTATGTCCACACAAGACCTGCACACATGTTCACAGCAGCTTTATTCGTAATTGCCCAGACCTGGAAGCCACCATGATGTCCTTCAGGAGGTGAATGGGTAAACTGCAACCCATCCAGACACGGGATGTTACTCAGTGCTCCACCATCCTGTGGAGCCCTCCCGAGCCAGGGCGGTGGGCTGTTCCCTGCTCCTGTGTCCTCAGCCATGAGTGCTGGAGCCTGCCCCCAGGGACGTCACGAAATGGGTACAAGAGGTAGGCTTGAATCTTGCAGCCTGTGAACCCCATAACAAAATGTGTTCAGAATGGACAGTGTCCCAGGGGATGTTAATGAGGGGTACAGCCCTCTCCGGGGGTGGAGGGGAACTGAGGCCATGTTAGCACTTGCACGACTGGGAGAGACCACAAGGTAGAGAATGGGGAGTAGGACAGAAGTGGGCCGGAGGCCAGAGCCAGGAGCAAGGTGGGGGACAGGCACAGGAGGAGGGTGTACGGCAGAGGTGAGGCTGCAGGAAGATGGTGATGCCTCCCAGAGACTGGAACAAAGGCAAGGGGAGAAAAGCAGCAATTCTGTCCTGGACCCATCAAACCAAGAGTGTGCACAGGGAGGGGGGCCGATGTGTGTTGGTTCTTTACTGCAACGGAGCACATGCTTGGAAAGCACCCACATCAGAAGAGTGGGCTTCCAGAGCGGACCCTTGTAACCAGCACTGAGACCGAGATGGAGCACGTCCTTAACCCAGCACTCCCTGCACCCCTCCAGGACCCCCCAAGGGGAACTGGTGCCCTTTCAAAGAACACGTCACCCACCTTGTGGAAAGTGCCAAGCTTTCCTAGTGGGGGTCATGTGGTGAGGACCTCTGCGTCTGCCTCTTCTGCTTAGAAGAGTGTCTGGAGGCTCCCCTGCGACTGGCCGTGCGCCAGGCCCTACAGCCCTGGGAAGGGGGCAGCACTGGTAAGAGAAGGATCTAGAACAGAGCCCCAGTGGGGGAGGGGCCAGCATGAATGTGAGGTTTTGCGAGCTCCCAACCAAAGGCACAGGCCCCGCTGGTGGGCGCGCCTCTGACTCCAGCCTTGGATCAAGGCTCAACTTAGATCCTCCAGTGATTCGCAGGACACCTTTGAAACCCTCACCAGGAACTGAACTCGCCAGTGCCTCCATCCTGAACTCCAGCCTCTAGCCCCTGAGGAGTAAGTCTGTCGACTACAAGCCACCCAATCTGTGGAGTTTTGTTACACCAGCCGTGAGCCACATGCCAGACCTCCCGAACACTCTGCATCACAGGTCCTGCAAATGGCACCTGGCGCTATCAGGAGAAGTTTTGGCCTTGGGACACCCTGAAGGGCCCAGGGCCCGATCACCCCTTACAAGGACGAAGCTGCGGGTGCAATGAGGACCTGGAGCAGTGAGCCCGCACCGTCTGCTGCGGGTGAGGCTCTCACAAATCTAATTTGATTCTGTCCACAGACTTTCATTACCAGAGAGACACACAAATTATGAAAAATGTTTTTTATTTTAAATCGAAGTACCGAGCAGATACTTGAAAACAACATATAAAGTAGAACTCAGCCACTGGCCTTCCCCAGATACCGAGCAGGCACCGAGAGAGGTTCTCGCCCTTCTACAAACCCAAATCCAACCCCATCTTCACAGAAAACCACACTAAAGGCAGCCATGAAAACCCGCATCCTGTAGGTGGTGTGCGGGGGCAGGCGCTGGCGACGGCCTCCTGACGAGAGGCAGGCAGCTCCATGAGGAGGGGTGGCCACCGGCCTCCTGCCCCACTCCAGGCCCGGAGCCCTGCCAGGAGCAGCCTCGGCGGAGGCTGAGCTGGCGGCAGTGCCCGAGAGCAGCCTCAGGGGGGCACTGAGAATGGCCTCCCACCGGCAGAATGAGGGGCTGGGAATTATTTCTTTTTTTTTTTTTTAAAGATGACCGGTAAGGGGATCTCAACCCTTGGCTTGGTGTTGTCAGCACCACGCTCAGCTAGTGAGCAAACCAGCCATCCCTATATAGGATCCGAACCCGTGGCCTTGGTGTTATCAGCACCGCACTCTACCGAGTGAGCCACGGGCCGGCCTGGCTGGGAATTATTTCTGAAGCTGGTTTGTACTGCCCTGAACCTAACTTTATCTTCCAGCATCTCGGTGCCTAAGGGGCAGGGGCAGAAAAGGTCCCACCCATGTTCTTAAAAAGAAAGAAAACCAACCCACAACCACTTTTAGTTCATTTCACCAAGTGGCTGTAAAGGCAGAAAGAGCATTTGACTTTCACAAATAAAAGCCTCCAAAGGTCACTGGTTCCCAGGCTAGAAGCAGTTTTATTAGTGACAGTTTTGAATATGGTCAAGCTGGTGGGGGGGTGCCGCAGGGCCAGCTAGGCAGTGCCCACACCCCCTGGCCCCCCTTGTGCCCACTGGGTCACGCTGCCGCATGTAACAGACTCACACCACAATAAAAATGAGTTTTAAAAAAGGAGTATGTACGCAAACAAATAAAGTAAACACGCTGAAACCAGCTGACTCATGACAACAGCCAACAGAAATGTAACAGAAGAAAAAAAAAGGACAGAACTTCAGTAGCTCGACATGGGGCAGGGGGAGACGGGACAGGCCCTGTCCCAACAAAGGAGCTGAGGTGGGGCCTGGGGCACTTGATGGATGGAAGGATGGACAGTTGGGTGGACGACCAGTTCCCTCAGACCAGTGGAGTGAAACAGCAGCCCCCTCCTGCTGCGGAGTCTTGGGAGAAGGGACTTCGGCTGGCAATACACTGGCAGGAAGGTCTGGGGATGCCTGGCCTGTTAGGATCGTCTGGGACACACCCTGCTGGAGGCTGCAAGAGGCCTGGGCTCAATGTCCCCTCAGAGGTCAGCCTGGAGGGCAGCCCCCACCAGGTCTTCCTTGGGACTCTAAAACCAAATCTGCAAACAATCTATGGACACAGCCTCTCATGGAGCATCATGGTCCCTCCTGCACCAGCTTGTCCTGGGCAGCCTCCCCAAATGTCCTGGGCTCTCCCTGGAGACAGGGATCACCGAGTGTGGCCAGAGGGTACAGATCCACCTTGCAGGGGGCACGTGAGGTGTCCACCAGCAGGCAGCACACAGGGGCCACAAGGGGGGAAGCGCCACCCAGGACCTTCAGCCCCTGGTCAATTGCATTTGCAGGAGCTCCAGAACCCACCCCCAGAGCCAACTGGGAGGCCTAGGCACTCTCCACTGTTTTGGTTGAAAATGCTATAAATGTGACTCTTCCTAGAAGCCTACTAAACAATACACTTAAAACACCTGTAGCACACATGCCATGGCACCTGGACCACCCCTGGTGTGTGCAGCCCCTCAGCCACCTGAGCACCTGCTGGGGGTGAGGGGAGGATGAGGCCTGCCCAGGGTCTACAGCCCAAGCTCCAGGTGCATGTCCTCACACAGGCAGGAGAACAGGGCGCCAGCCACACTAAACCTACAGAAAACTGTGGGAAGAAACCAAATCCATAGGATCCATGGGTTTCCACACTTGGGTACTGTTCCCAAGACATGTGTTAGTAATGTCCTCCCCAAGCAGGCTCAGACCCTGTGAGGGTCCTAGGGGATCCCAGGCTCCGAGACCTCAGTGACTCAGCTCCACCCACTTTAGCAGGCCCAAGGTCCGGGAGCACCTGGCTGGGCTCTGGCAGCACCAGCCCATGCTCAGCTCCCTGCCACCAGCTGCACCCCGGCCATCCCCTGCCATCATCCATCTGGCTCCTGATCAAGGCCCAATGTGTAAACAGTATCGATAAGCAACAGATGGAAAAATATATTTCCCAGAGAAAAGGGAGAGGAAGTTTAGAACCTGAAGACCGACTTTCTAGGTTGCTGTCCCTTCTTCTGTCTTGATTCGTCCTGATGATTCCTCTCTTTGGTTCAGCAGCCTACATGACCTGCCTGCACCGAGCCAGCCCTGCGGCCTGTGCCATGCTCCCCACCTGCTGGGGCTGAGGAGAGGCAGCTAGCCCTGTCCACCCCCGAGGGGCCGTGCCCTCCTCACCAGCTACTTCTGCTCATGGTCCTCTGCCACGGCGGCCACCTCAATGGTGGCTGTGTGCTCCTCAGACCCCACGGTGGCCCCCGTGGGCACTGTCACAATGGTGCTGCCCCCAGGCGATGCCTGGGTCACGTTCTGCAGGGTGGGGCCCAGGCCAGGCAGGGTGAGCAGCTGCAGTGGGCTGACCACCTTGAGCACCGTGCTGCCATCCTGCATGGCAGCCGTGCTCAGGACTGTGAGGCTTGACGCATCCGGGTGGATCTCCACTGTGCTGGGGAAGGTGGAGCCTGAGGAGGCCAGGACCGTGTAGCCCCCAAGCAGTGGGGAGGCCGGCGAGCTGGTGGGAGGAGCCTGAGGGGAGCCCTTGCTCAGGATGGTGGACGGCAGTGGGGACACCATTTTGCTGAGTGGCACGCTGGTCAGCTGGGAGACAGGCACGCCCGGGCCTAGGGCAATCTGGGCAGACTGGGTTAGCACCTGTGAGGCAACGGCAGCTGGTCCAGATGTGGCTCGCGCGAGCCGGGGTCGCTTCATGGGGGGCGGGAGGGAGACGGGGGTCAGCGTCATGAGCACGTTGCTGAGGTGCTGGGACTTGTGCTTGAGTTCCTTGGCCCGGCGGCGGTGTTCGTCACACTGCTGCTCCAGAGCTGCAGGCGAGCAGGGACAGAGAGCATCACTGCTGAGAATGTGGACAGGCAGGCACACCACTGGGCAGGTCACTGCAGTGGCAGCCCAGGTTAGCCTGCCTGACAGAACCGAGCCTGATGACCATGTGGCCACCCGCCGAAGGTGAGGTCGGTGGGAGGCAGCCCTCAGATGACCCACTGCCCGGAGGGGGAACATGCTGTCTGCCAGACCCTCCCCATCTCTCAGACAACCCGCTACCCGGAGGGGGAAGAGGCCATCTTGCCAGACCCTCCCCATTCATTTTAACATACTCATTTTAAGATAGTCCCTCCAAAACTTACTCCCCACTGTCACTGGGAAATCCTATTATGGTAACTGAAAGGTAGGGACTTGAACAGGTGATTGGATTGTTAGACCTCGCTACAGTGAATGGGTTAATAATGGTGGTCAGGGACATGGTTCTGAGGGCTTGAAAAAGAACACGTGAGGAACTATCTCTCCACCATATTCACCATGTGACACCCTGAGTCACTATAGTCACCACCAGGACAAGACTCGCACAAGATGTGTTTCCTGGACTTTGGACTGGCCAGCCTCCAAAACTATAAGCAATAAATTTTATTTTCTTTATAAATTACCCAGTTCTGAGTATTTTGTTATAAGCAACAGAAATAGACTAATACAGAAAATGGGTAACAGAGAAGTGGGGTGTTGCTTATAACAAATACTTGAAAACATGGAAGCAGCTTTGGAACTGGGTAATGGGCAAAGTCTGGAGGAATTTGAAGGAACAGGCTAGAAAAGGCCCAGTTGCTGGTGGGAGGTTAGAAAACAAGAAAACCAGGGAAACTTTGAAATGTTTTAGAGACTGGTTAGATGGTGAGGAGAAGAATACTTATGGAAATATGGACAGTAAAGACCACTCAAAGGAAGTCTCAGATGTAACTGAGAAGGGACTTACTGGAAACTGTGGCAAAGATCAATCTTGCTATGAACTGACAAGGAACTTGGCTGCATTGTGTCCATGCCCTAAGACTTTACGGAAGTTGGAAATTAAGAGTTGTGAGCCAGAGTATTTGGCAGAAGAAATTTCTAAGCAGCAAAGCATTCAAAAAGCTGCATGGCTACGTGTAACAGCCTGTTCTGAGTTATGGCTGCAAAGGCACGACATAAAGCCAGAATTTAAAAGGAAAGCAGAGTGTAAAGATTTTGAAAATTTGCAGGCTGGCCATGTGGTAGAGAAGCAGAGAGCATTTTCAGGAGAAAAATGCAGTGGTGTTAAGAAGATTAGCACAAAAGACAGAGATTATCAAGAGAAGGAAGAAAGACCCTAAAGGCATTGCAGAAGCCCCCAGGGCCAGCCCTTCCATTCCAGGCCCAGAGGCCCAGGGCCACCTCAGGATGCTGCTTCCTGTGCTGCTGGTGCTCATGCCGCACGTGCCACACATGCCTTGGCTAAATTGGCCTCAGGCATGGCTGGACCCGCAGCTTTGGAAAATACAAGCCGGAAGCCTTGGTGGTATCCATTTGGTGTTAGGTCTGCAGGCTCATAGAATGCCAGAGCTCTGAAGGCTTGGGAGCCTCCACCCTGCTTTCAAAGGATGTATGGAAAAGTCTAGGGGCCCATGAAGGAATTTGTCACAGAGGCGGATTCACTAGAGCAATGCCAAGGAAACACGGGGTCAGAGTTGCAGCAGAAAAACCTCAACAGTGCCATGTCTAATGGAGCCATGAGAGCAGGACCACCATGGAGACCCCAGACCTCTGGAGCTACCAGAGTGGAACAGCAGCCTGGGAAAGCTGAAGTGTGTCCTGAAACCAGGAAAGCCATAGGAGCGGAGCTGCCCAAAGACTTGGGGACTCAACTCCCACACCAGCATGCAGAGGACGTTGAACATGGAGTCAAGGTACATGATTCTTCAGCTTTAAGCTTCAATGCCTGCCCTGCTGAGTTTTGCACTTGTTTAGGACCTGTTACACCCTTCTTTTGGCTTGTTTCTCCCTTCTTGAATGGAATATGTACCCTATGTTTGTCCCACCACCATTGTATCTTGGAAGTAGATAACTACTTTTGATTTCACAGATGGGACTTTGAACTTTGGGCTTTTGAGTAGAAACAAGACTTTGGAGATGAAATGAATATATTTGTATGGGGGCCAGGAGCAGAATGCCTTGGGTCGAGTGTCCCCCCAAAACTTGATCCCCACTGTAACTGTTGAGGGTAGGAAATCCTATTATGGTAATTGAAAGGTGGGGCCTTGAAGAGGCAATTAGATTGTAGGACCACGCTGTAGTGAATGGATTAATAACAGTTGTCATGGGTGCGGTTCTGACGACTTTAAAAAGAGAGTACACGAGGAACTATCTCTCTGCTCCACCATATTCGCCATGTGATACCCTGAGTCGCTGTAGTCACCACCAGGACAAGGCAGGCCCTCACCGGATGTGTTCCCTGGACTTTGGACTTGCCAACCTCCAAAACTGTAAGCAATAAATTTCATTTTCTTTATAAATTACCCAGTTCTGAGTATTGTGTTACAAGCAGCAGAAACTGACTAATATACTAGGGAAAGTTGCTCTTGTGATATATGAAGACAAAAATAGGCCAAAGCAGCACATACATAAAGCGTGCTTTAAACACGCACACACGGTGAACACACCATGAGTACAAACTCCATTTGTACTCATAAAAATTTGCAGGATGGCCATATGGTAGAGAAGCAGAGAGCATTTTCAGGAGAAAAATGCAGTGGTGTTAAGAAGATTAGCACAAAAGAGATTATCAAGAGAAGGAGGAAAGGCCCCTGAAGGCATTGCAGAAGCCCCTGGGGCCAGCCCTTCCATTCCAGGCCCAGAGGCCCAGGGCCACCTCATTGCCCTTTCTGAAAGACCATGCAGAAAGGGCACCAGGTCACAGAGACAGGCTTGAGCTCTGGTGGGGTCAGGGCTGGCTGTTTTCACTTCCCTGTCACTGTTTCGTAAATAACTTCCTTTTTCATGATAGAAAAACCTGTAAGCAGAAGTAACGTGTGCTCTGCAGGAGGGCAACATCTGATTGCAGTCACCAGGTTTTACTGACTTTTCCTGGCTGAAACCTGTGTCCTTCCTCCCTGGGTGCAGGAGAAGGAGCTTCTGTCTGTGGCTGTGGCTCAGGGACGTGTGTGTGGACACAGCCCAGCGAGGCAAGCCACGGACTACCTGCCAGGTCCCGAGCATACTGCTCCCGCGAGCGGTCCATCTGGCACTTGTGGCTGGCCAGCACTTTCTTCACCAGGTCCAGCATGCCGAAGTTCTGCACGATGTTGTTGAGGAGGACAGCATCTTAAGGGCAAGGGGCACACATGGTAAGGACCTTGGGGCTGGTTGCAGCAGCCAGGGGGAACCTGGAAATCCCGCAAGCGACTACCACCAGAAGCCTAGCATTAGCCTCTGTTCATGGCATGGAAGGGCCTGGGGGAACAGGGCCCACCCCGCAACCCTGCAGATGCTGCTGGCTCAGAAGACACAGACCCCTCACCTCGCAGCTGTAGGGGGGGATCCTGGACTCGCTGCTGCAGGCCTTTCATGGTCTCCACCAGCTCCTGGTGGAACTCTTGGACGACCTCATCCAGCAGGCCGGCATCTTTCAGCCCCCGCCAGAAGGCAAACGTGTCATCTGCGAGGGAGGGACAAGGCTCAGTGGACAGAGGCAGCCCACGGTGGGGAGGGCAGAGCACAGTGCGAGTTCACGCTCAGGAAGGTCAGCTGCACCAGGCACTGTGTGGGGCCTGCCTCGACCCAGCCACGGCCATGGCGCTAGCGTCCACTGGGTCAGCTGCAGAGCTCACTGCCCAGTGCCCAGGATGGCAGTAGCCAGAGCTCGAGATCAGGTGGACGGCTTCTCCCCACTACCACCTTCTCTGTGAGGACCCCGCCACCCAGCCCCACACTCATGAGAAGCCCATAAGGAGGGATCCGCACCTCCGACAGCCGTGGTCCAGTCACCAGGGTCCTCACAGGTCTCGATGGTGATGGTAGCAGGAGACCCATTCACTGCAACCCAGACAGAAGCACAGTGAGCACCCGGACAGGTGCCCGCCAGTCCTCCTCACACCAGCTCTGAGTCTCTCTTTTTCATCCACTTTCACAAAATTGACAAGCACTATACATACTGGTTCAGCCAAAGGATCACTTGCCTTGCATTTTAAGTTTTTTTAAAATCACGGACATCTTCAGATAGGAGCTAAACAACAGACACCCTCCAATGACTGCAGACTGTAACCAACTGTAACTGTGTGGCAGCAGCAGCTGCAGCGGGCTGGGCCAGGACGGGCCATGCTGTCCTTGAGGCAGGCGGCCCCGCACACCTACCGTCGGCCGCGGCAGGTGTGAGCGGGATGTACTCAGCCGAGGTTGGGCTGCTCAGGGACACGCGTGCTCCCGACAGGTCAATCTTGGTGCTGCGGCAGGTGTTGGAGCAGACTTTATCATGCTGGTAGAAGTCCAGCTCCCCAGAGTCCATGATCTTCCTGAGACAGAGAATGGAGACAGAGCACCCCTGGTGAGACCCGGGCCCAGACACCTTGTCTACCCACCCTGAATCGGGCTGCCCACCTGCATGGGAGGCAGGTCCCAGCAGCAGCACTAACCAAGGCTGGGCTCCTGTGCAGTGGGAGTAGGCTACCCTCAGCACAACACTCTGAGTGTGGGGACTGGCTGCAGATGAAGCAACCACCCCAGGCTGTCATGTGGCTGCTCTGTCCACAGGAAGGAGAAAGAGAGCACTGGCCAGCAGGTGACCTGGAGACGCCTGGCTGACAGTGTGGGATGTCCTGCCAGCCCAGCCCCAGGGGAGCAGGCCCACAGCTCACAAAGGACATCACAGCGCACCTATACCATGTGTGACCCAGGTCTGAGCAGAGAGGCAAGATGCATTCCCAGGAGAAGACTGGCCTCTTTGGTTTTTTTTTGTCTTTTTTCGTGACCGGTAGGGGGATAGCAACCCTTGGTGACACCCGCACCGCACTCTGCCAGTGAGCTCCCCGGCCATCCCTATATAGGATCCGAACCCATGGCGGGAGCGCCGCTTGCGCTCCCAGCGCCACACTCTCCCGAGTGTGCCACAGGGTCGGCCCAAGACTAGCCTCTTTGGAAGGCACAGGACAGCCAAGGAGAACAAAAGAAACCCAGGAGGGCGCTGGGGTCCATGGTCACTCCCCATCACCACCTTTACCTGCCAACACCTGCTGCTCCTAGGACCCTCCTCTGCTGCCTCTCCTGGAGGTCCTGGATCTAAGTCCAAGGTGTCTCAGCCATCCCGCCTCCACCATGAGAGAGTCAGAGGCTCCAATGCCACTCAGTCTTTGGGCAGCGCTGACCTCAGGCCCAGGCTGGGCTCTCGCTCAGCTCACAACGTACCCCCCCCTGGGTGGGGTTCTCCACAGCTATGCCACTAGCCATGTCAAGAAAATCAGAGACTAGCTCAGCAGGATGGGCCCGAGAGCTGTGGAAAAGGACCCAGGCCCCAAGCTCTGCCTCTGGTGGTGCCAAGCAGCACACCCGCTCGGGAAACCAGGTGGAGACCGGGCCGCCATGACCTGTCCCATGGCGCCTGCACCTTCCAGGCACATGACCAAGACTGGCTCACAGTTTATGAAGAAAGCAAACCACATGTGGTCATTCACCAGCCACGCACGTACTCCACAGGCGTACTTTAGTAACAGTAATGAAAAACTCAAAGATAAAGAATAATGTCGTTATGCTACAAGACTAAACCTGCCAACTGCCTGGTGAACAAACACAAGATTATGCCTTTAAGTCTTCCACAGAGAAGAATTGGTGGGAACTAAAATGAGATTTGACAAAAAATTCTAGAAGTCCCACAGTGTCACTGCTGGTAGGGGTGTGGGGTGTGAGTAGGTGTGGCCACACGCCACATCTAAAATGAGTCTCCTCTTCAAAAATCCAAAACCAAAGGAGAAAGCAGCAGCCGCGGAGCCCCCGCCCCCGGGAGGGCCCACCTGAGCATGATGCCATTCATACGGATGGCTCTCTTCCAGTCCTTCAGCGTGGACTTCCCCGCCAGGTGCACGAATTCCTTCGGGCTGATCACATGCTCATCGTACTGTGGAGGGAAGCACAGCCGTGTGGGGCTGGGCCCAGTGGGATGGGACGCCCCCTCCTGCCCGACCCCATAGCCACAGCAATGCTACTAAACACTAGGGTAAAACAAGCAGCTGCAGCAGGAGCTGGCTCTCTACCTGTGGGCCTGAGACTCAACTGCTGCCACTGGCTACGGGGGACTGCACGCCCGGCAGAGGCCCCATAGCCATGCCTTGTGTGCTGGGGTCGCCCACACCATGCAGAAAGCGGGATAGTGCTCTCTCCCTGCAGACCTTCCTAAGGGCAGTTTATTCCAGTACTACATACACATATTACTTCATAAAACGGCAAAAGGCACAAGCTTATAGACTGACCTGTGAGTAGCGCCCAGCCCAGCCTGCTCCTAATGCCACCTTCCACACACAGGAAGCACACAGCACCCTGCTCTGCTCTGACACACATATGCGTCCATTTCAAAGCCAGAGGAACCCCCCAATTTCCTGGGTGTCTGCACTCTCTCTCTTATTGCCCCAAGCCACAGACAAGAATACTGCATCCAGCAAGCCCCCCCCATGCCCATGACCAGCTGATCAGGGAGACCAGGTGGGTGGAGTCCAGAATACCTCCCAGCCACTGCCTGCGCCTAGTAGGAAACCCATACCTGCCAGCCTTGGCTACCCTTCATCCACCTCTGGCCATCGTCACTGCCCAGCTGGCCTGCATGCACCAAGACAACTGAGCTGCACCTGCAGGCCTGCCCCCACACCTTGGGCATCTGCCCGGCCTGCCGTCTTCCATCACTGCCTTCGTGTGGGCCAAAGGGTCCTCCTGCCACCCCAGACTTCTCTCTCCTTGTCAGGAAGGTGCACCCTCCACTCTCTCAAGGGCACACCTGGGCTGTCGGACTCCAGAGCTCACGTGAGCCCCATCTGATCCTGCCACGGCCCTGTGTGTTGTCTTTAGAGCAGTCCAGGACGTCACCATCAGGGACTCACCCTTCTCTCTTCCCACCCTCACACTGCAACACTTCTATCTGGAAACTTTCCCTCTTTCTGGCATATTCAGAATTCCTCTAGTGATGATGTGCTGGTGGCAAACTCAGTTTTGTCTAAAACTGTCTTTATGTCTTTATTTCACTCTAATTTTTACAGATGACATCATTCTGCACAGTTACTTGCGGCACAGTGAGGACCTCTGGCTCCCGCACTGCCATCGGGACTTGGCTGCTGGTGGGATTCTTTCTCCTGAGCCGTCTCTGCTCTCCGGCTGTTTTTAGCATCTTCCTCATCCTTGTTGTTCTGGATTTTCATTATGATGTTATTTATAGTGAATTTCTTTTTTATTTCTAATTTTCAATTTTGATATAATTTCAAACTTACAGAATAATTGCAAGAATATTCCAAGGAGCTCCATGATGCTCCTTTTTCAGATTCACCAACTGTTTACATCTGGCCCCTCCGCTCCCTTGCCCTTCATTCATGCGCACACATGCATGTGCATGTGTGCATGCACGTGCAAGTGAGCCTCTCTTCTGAACTGCTGAGTGTGAGGTGGAGACAGCAGGCCCCTTTACCCCTAAGTATTTGTACATATTTCCCAAGAACAAGGTCCTCTCACAGCACCACAGCACGATTACCATCCATGTACTATCTAATCCACAGTGCACATTCGACCTCACGGACTATCCCAAGGTTAGTCTTCATCACTGTCATTCTGTCGCGGGACCCAGCCCTCACCTGCTGCGTGCATGTGTGTCTCCTGGACTCCTGCAGTAGGAATAGCCTCTCGGCCTTTCTTTGTCTTCCTCGGCCTTGACTTGTTTTAAACACATGGGTTGGGTATTTTATAAGCTGTCTCTCAATTCATGTCTGATGCTTTCTCACGAGTAGAGCTGGGCTAAGAATTTTTGGCAGCAATACCACAGAATTCCTGCCCATTCTATCAGGAGGCACAAGACAGAGGATTCTCAACATCAGTAATTGGCTGAGGTGGCACATGCCTGGTGTTCCTGTGCTTGCAATTTCCTCTGTGATGAACATGTAAGCAATGGGGGCACGTGAGGCTGGGTTAACGTCCTGCCTCCCCCCACTTCCCACGCCTGTCCTCCCCTCCTACCTTCCACGTGGATCAGCTGGCACTGCAACATAAGAGCTCCACTTCTCCCTGCACATTTATTTAACCTAGGTGAGTGACATGAAATACTTGGCAACGAACAGGGACTTGACTTTCATTTTACCATGAGGAAGTTAGTCTATCTCCGCTCTGCTATTTTCGCAATGTGATACCTGCCACCGCCATCGCCAACACCAAGACCCTCACCAGATGAGTTCTCTGGATTTTGGACTTTGGACTTCCCAGCCTCCAAAACAGTAAGCAGTAAATTTCATTTTCTTCATAAACCACCCAGTTCCGTGTACTTTGTTATAAGCAACAGAAACAGACTAATATGGTCCATGATTGTCACTTTTCTGATGTTAGATTGTCCCAGATGGAGGCAGTGGAAGTCTTTCCCGCCTGGGACCTGCCACGCTCATGGCCCGAGGACTTTGTCCTTCCTTGGTTATGAAGTCCTCAGCCTCTCTGTCCTTTCCTCCCAGAACTCAATAGATGTGTTGGACTGTCTTTTTTGTTTCTGTGGACTACATTCTGGATAATTTCTTTAGTTCTATCTTCAGCTCACTGTCTCTTCAGCTATGTCTACCCTGCTATAAAAACTACCCACTAATATCAACTTTCAATTCAACTTTTCATTTCTTTTTTTTTTTTTTGTCTTTTTTATCTTTTTCCGTGTCCGGCAACAGATCACAACCCTCAGTGTTGCCCCCGTACCAGACCGGGGACCGGCAACGGGATTGCAACCCTCGGTGCTGCTCCCGTGCCTCGCTCAGCCAGTGAGCGGGAACCGGTCTGTATGTGGGATCCGAACCCTTGGGCGGGAGCGCCACCACGCTTCCCAAGCGGCGCACTATAGCAGTGCACCACCGGGCCAGCCAAACTTTTCATTTCTGATCATGCTGTTGTTAAATCTCCTCACACTTCACTCATGTTCAGTCATCTCTTTTATTTCTTGAGATGAATTAAATGCCATTATTTTACATCCTGTGTCTTGGCACTCCAGTGCTCGAGGTCCTGGGGGGCTCTTCTGTCTGCTACTTCCTTGTGTGGACAGTGTGTCTGCTGGTTCTACCATGAGCTCCTCCTTTCCTTACAACTTTGTCCGTGGAAATTACTTGAAACTTGGGATAAAGGTGAATCCCTCCAGAAAGGATGTTTTCATCTGCTTCTATTGGCCCCGGCAGAACTGCCAGTCAGGAGCCTCACACAACTGCACTCTCGGCTTGGGCTTTCAGGTCACACAGGCCATGCACGAATCCTGAAGAAAGTGTTCCTCCTCAACTCAGCGCTACGGCTGGAGGCAAGAAGTCTCCTTGCTCAGGGGAGAGCGTGTGCGTTATTAGTAGTTTACCGCCTGGAGATACCAGTGTTGGAGGGACAATCTCCATGCCCAACACACACACCTCGGGGAAGCCCCAGCCTCCTCTTCTATCTCTGCCCCAGTGAGGCTAAGCAACGTGGCAGGGTAGAAGCTCGCTCGGGCTACACATGCCTCGCCAATCCCACCCCTCCTTGGGCCCTGCGCCTGGCACTTCCTCCTTTTTTGCCAGTTTAAGGTGGCAGCTAGAAGATGCTTTATGAACATGTCTTCAGGGGCATTCACAGCTATTTCCAGCACAGCTGGGTCTGGCCCCTAATCTGCCACGTTGCCAGGAAGAGAACACCTCTCCCATTTATCTTACCCTTCACCACTAAATGAGTCTTTTCCAAGCGTACCCATCGTTCAACCTGCAAGGAAAGCCAGCTCCTCCATGCAGTCACAGTGCTCTGCACATGAGCACAGCCCTCTGCAGCCTGCCCCCGCCGCGGCTTCACACCAGTAACAGGGGCGACTTCCTCTGAGGGCTTTCCTGTCGTGCCCAAGCTCGAATCCTGTCTGTTCCTGAAGCCTCCTCTGTTCCCAGGCACATGGGACCCTGTCTCCTTGAATGCCCTCATTACAGCCATTGCCCCCCAGAGCAGGTGCTGCACTGCAGCCCCCACACAGGTCAGACGCATCACCTGAACACACTTCACGTTGATGCCAGGGCACACGAACTTCCTCCAGATCAGGTTGGCTCTGCTGTCTCCACAGGTGATGGGGTACACAATCTCAGCCTCCAGGCTCTCCCCCTCGTCAGCCACCTTCACTTCTCAGGGGCATGTGCACAAGGAAAGGGTGAAGACAGAAAATCAGTCATAGACTCCTGCAAATGCAAGGAGAACAGCCACCAACCTGGAAACCAAAAATTAAGATCCAGGAAGGCCCAAGACAAAGCCAAGGAGAGTGGAACATGCAGGGTGTTCTCACCAGTCCTTGGTGTGGGCTTCAGGTAAATTCACAAAGTAGATTTGATTGACTATGGTAATATTAATATAATTCCATTAAACTATGGGTGAACTGAAGAGAAATTTAAGAGAATAAAATCAAACTTTACTTGAAACCACTCTAGGAAAGCTTAAGGTTTTAAAGATTATAGGTCCTTTAACCTTAGGCAACAGAAAAATCCCAAAGGTGTTATAAAAAGTATTTAGTGCCATTCACTGACAGTTAAGTAAACAGATGCAGGCAGAACAGCAGGTACAGAGACAGAAGCAAACAAAATCCCATAGATGAGGCTGCACAATTTGGGGCTAACCTGCTTCCCCATGGGCAGGGCTGTCATTACAAACCCAGGACGGGCTCCTGGGCGGGCCCTGGAGCCTGGCCCTACTCTCCTGAGGGCATGCGGCTAGAACAGCCCGTGTAGGGCCTCAGTTACTCCCACACCATGACCCGTCCTTGCAGCAGTAGGAGGGCAGGCCCCCCACTCGAGGCAGCTTCCTACCTAGCACGGCTTCCTTGAGATGAGAGGAGGCTGTGAAGGCAGCGGCCGCTGCGGCCGCCGCACTTTCTGTTTCCATGTTGTCTTCGGTGAGGTCACCCCTGGTAAACAGAGAAAGCATCAGGGTCCAGCACCCATTCTGTGGCGCCCAGCATATGGCAAGCCTTCCCAGTGACACGACTCTTCGCATGCCTGCTGCTCTAACTTACTCAGACACAGCCTGGCCGCGCCAGACACGGGACCGTGTACGCACAGCCACAGTGCTGCCTCATGAGGGCACAGTTCTCTGTTTTGTCTGCGGCTGTGTTTCTGGAGTCCGAACAGCACCCGCAAGTGAAAACAGCATGATGGATGTGTGGAAGCAACAGATGTACAGCGGGAATCCTAAACCTCCATTTTGGTCTTGAATAAATCTCATGAGGGCACAGTTCTCTGTTTTGTCTGCGGCTGTGTTTCTGGAGTCCGAACAGCACCCACAAGTGAAAACAGCATGATGGATGTGTGGAAGCAACAGATGTACAGCGGGAATCCTAAACCTCCATTTTGGTCTTGAATAAAGTTTTTTATTTCCATTATAATGACTTCATATGGTTACAGAAACCATCAGAAAACATGAAATTTTAGGAAGAAGAAAAAATCACCATGGCCTAACCTCATCCTATACCAATAAATTATAGACAAATCAAAATGTAAAGGTAAAAGGTGAAATCATAAAAGTATTAAAAGGAAAAAAGAGAGAATTATTTTTTTTCTAGTTGCAAAGTGATAAAGAGTTTTCTTACGTGATACAATACCTAGAAATATGGCTGGCCAGTTAGCTCAGTTGGTTAGGGTGCAGCCTTATAACACCAAGGTAACTGGTTCTGATCCCCATACTGGCCAGCTGCCAGAAAAAAAAAAAAAACCTGGAGGGGGGGAACCCTAGAAATAGTGATTTGCCTCAAAAAAATAAAAGTAAAGACTTTTAATATAGAGAAAAAAACATCATAAATAATTTTTTTAAGAAAGAAAGAACGAACTTGGGGAAATGTCTACGGCATATATAAGACAAATGGCTACTTTCCTGATATTGTGTGAAGATGTCCCACAGAGCAACCAAACACCTCAACAGGAAAACAGGTGAAAACCACGACCAGAAGCCTTGGAGAAATCTGTAAAGGCGCCTCATTACACATAGGAAATGCAAATAAAAATTACAGTGAGACACCACAGTCACACACATGGTCCACAAGATGGACACACATACAGAAGAACATCTGTACGTGACAGTGCCCTGCAGGGACACAGGGAGTCTCCTGCTTTGTTGGCAAAACCTATGAGGAGGCTAATCTACCTACAGCCTAGGAGGCACATGCCTTTGGCCCAGCACCCCCACTTCTAGGATCAATCCTGCAGACTCCACCACAGCTCTCAGGGAAATGCTACCTAACTGACATGTGCAGTTCAAACTTCATTTGAAAAACTTCAGCTTAAAGTGAGAGACTGCACACTGTTGTCTCTCAGTAAAGTACTCCTGTCTTCCCATCAACACAGGCAGAGCCATGGGCAGGAGGCTCCCCTTTCAGACCTCATAAGTGAAGAGCAATCCCAAGTTCCTCCCCAAACAGCTGTCCGGAAAGGAAATCAGTGCCCACAAAGTAATCAACTAGTTTCTGCTTCCCCTTTCTCTAAAAACATGTAGCAAAAGTGAATCTCAACTTCCAGCTGGCAGGATAATAGGTGTAATTCCCCACAAAAAAAGAAGAGGATCTTCAGGTCCTTGAAGATAAACCAGCCTCAGGTGCCATGTGGGGTTTTCTCCTCAGAGGAGAAGGTGCACGTGGCCTCTCTTTTCCTGCACAAGCCTCCAAGCGGCAAGGGCGGTGCCTGGGCATCCTACAAGGCAGCCATGGACTGGAAAACGTCTTCTGATCCTGTTGCGCCCGGCTTGACTTTGGGCCAACCTTCTGACCAGCATTGACTGACAGGATGTGCCAGGCCCTGTGAGGCCTCGCAGCTCCCCCTCTGCTGCTGGAGTCCCTATCTGGAGGACATCCCCAGCAGGCCAGAGCAGAGGCCCAGCTAACCCAGCATACCACAGGAAGTGGCACGCGTCTGCTGCTTCCAGCCACCAAGCTGTGTGGTAGTTTGTTGTTATGCAGCAAGTGTGACAAACACTGAAACGGTGCCACAAGTGGGGGCTGCTATCACAAAACCTAGACACAGGTGCTAACTCTGGCACCAGCAGAAGGCGGAGGGATGGCTGCAGGGCCACACACGTGGTCACTGAACTGACAGAAAACACGTCTGATGAACCTGTGCATCTCAAGAGAGAACTTGAGGCAGAATGCAGGAAGTGCCGGGCCGGCCTGTGGCTCACTCGGGAGACTGTGGTGCTGAGAACACCAAGGCCCCGGGTTCAGATCCTATATAGGGATAGCCGGTTAGCTCACTGGTTGATTGAGCGTGGTGCTGACAACACCAAGCCAAGGCTTGAGATCCCCTTACCGGTCATCTTTTAAAAAAAAAAAAAAAAAAAGAATGCAGGAAGTGCCAAGTGGCTTCTTTCATGTCAGATGACTGTCCTCCTGAACAAAGAAGCTACAGGGGTTCTGGTGTCACACCATCTCATGTCTCCAGTTCCTCAGCTGGCAAAAGATTCTCAAAGTAAGAAAGGGCTTCGGGTAGAGACCAAATCAAGGGTGTGACTGTGAGATCCTCTGCTGAAACCTCAGCAAGTGCTGAGGCCACGTCTGGCCAAAGGGCTCCTAACAATCTTCAGGGCCCTGCCCCAAAAGCAGAGAGGCCCATCCCAAGGACTGGTGATGTGGCTGCTAAGCAGGACCGTCCACCTGGGGCCTGTCCTATCTGGCCTACACTGAGTGTTGGTGGCAGGGTGGTAGGATGGCAGGGTGGCAGGGCACGAGGGCGGCAGATGGCTCTCAGCTTCAGTTCTTGGGTCTTGGATCACATGATGCTACATGCACACCCAGACCCGGCCACAAGGTTTTATCACTCTTTCCATCAAGAGACAGTCTTCATTCCATCTTTGACCCTGTGCTTGGTCATGAGACAGGAGGCAAGTTTTTCTCTGGAACTCTGAGAGGACCATGTAAAGAAGCCCAGGACACCTAGTTGGAAGACAAGAGACCTGGCAGAATGAAGGCACACCATCAGCTGAGGCCACCAGGACCACCGGCCTATCGACCCCCAGACGCATGACTGGGGCCATCAGGGCCATCGGCCTGTCAACGCCAAGACATGTGACTGAGCCACCTGGACCACTGGCCTGTCGATGCCCAGCCACGTGACTGAGGCCACCAGGACCAACTGGCCCTAGCTGTGCCATCAGCTGGCCAGGCGAGCCCAGACCAGCAGATCCAGCAGTCGACTGATGTAACTGTAAGAATAGTAAATGTCTTCAGCTACTGAGGTTTGGAGTGGTTCCTTACACAGCAAAAGAGAGGGACACGATAATAAACAAGGCAGGTGGGGAACTGACCTACTGTTTCCTCTCTACTTCCCACTGTTCTTAAAACAGAGTTAGCTTGAGTTGTAGAATGTGAGCAAACTTATCCCAGAAAAACACACATACTTAGTGCTGCTAAAGCAAAGCTAACCCACAGCAGCCACCTTCCGCAGTAGAGACAGAAAACAAAGGCAGCCTCGTAGACACCAGATTCAGGGGATTGTGCCAGCCAATGCTCCTGTGTCTGTCACTGTCACCAGCTGGCAAGACAGCCCCTGGGGACAGCTCTGAGCCCACAACTGTGTAAGCAAATAACAGCCCAGGGAAGAGAGAAAGTTTCCGGGAGACTTTTATTACTAAAATGTCTTTGTTTTTCAGTAAAAATGCATTTAATGTTGAAACCTACACATTTAAACGGGTAACAATGGTATCCTGATGCCCGTGAGTTTTCACGCGGACCTCTGGGGGTGTGTAAGTCTGAAGTATGGGTACCCACACAGGAGGACAGTGAAGCCAGGGAGCAGCGAAGACAACTGCTGGGGTGAGGGGATCCCACACAACGTGAAAATCGCCCTGCATTGGTTGGATTAGGAAAACATCTCTTCTGTCGGACAGACCCGGCTTGGTTTAGAATAGATCCCAGGCATCAAGCAGTTGCCGGAGCAACCATGACCCTGTGAAACCCAGTGAGGTGTCTGCAGGAACCCAGCCCAGTCTCATTACGCCAATTTATGAAAAAGAGACTTTTCTAAGTGAGAGACCAAAGGGTTGTATGAGGACCAGATATAATAGATCCTGGTTTGGACAAACTAGCTGTAAAAGTCACTTTGGTGACATGGAGAAATCTAAGTTTGAACTGAATTAGAAGAGGTGAAAATTTAACAACATGGAAAGATAAGAGATCATTACCTAAAACCAAACCAGAATAAAAGCAGCATGCATGGTGTTGTATGACCTCCTGGAGGGAGGGGTGTGAGGGCTTCTGGGATGCAGAAACATCCCATTTCTTTTTTTTTTTTTTTTTTTAAATGATGACCGGTAAGGGGATCTTAACCCTTGACTTGGTGTTGTCAGCACCATGCTCTCCCAAGTGAGCTAACCGGCCATCCGTATATAGGGATCCGAACCCGTGGTCTTGGTGTCAGCAGCACCACATTCTCCCAAGTGAGCCATGGGCCAGCCTGAAACGTCCCATTTCAATGGCCCCTGTTCACGTCATGCTAACTCATTAAGCTGGACATGTGTTCCTCGGACACTTTTCTATCTGCACATTACATTCAGTAATAAAAAGCTTTAAAGAAGGAAGAAGTCATATATTTGTGTGTGACCAGAATACCCGGAAGGGCCTGTTCTTGGGCATGAGCAGGGGATCTCCGGGCAACAGCAGCCTGGTCTCTTTTTGTTTCTGCTCATCAGTACTTTATAATTTTCTACAATATGTATTTTGTAAAAATAAATGGGTTATTTTAATTTTAAAAAAACTTATTGAAAACTTCCCAGTAAAATGGCAAATTAAACATACACATCTAATTCTGTCCTAACCCTAACCCATTAAAACAACAAAGGGAGCAATTCTCAAAGTGCAAGCCTAGAGCACATGAGCAGGAGACATCTCAGTGACTGGCTTTTGAAACCAGGGTAAACACAGCATGCACTGTCATGGCGCTCACTGAGGAACGGAAGCCGGCCCCAGGACAAGATGACCACCGACCCCATTTATACCCCAAATCCTCAAATCCTGGGAACTGAGCACCAGCTACCTCTGCAAGCAGGAATGACAGGAACCAAAGTGAGACTGGGCTGCAAGCTAGGGAGTGAGCAGCAGTTCCATCCCCAGATGCCCCGCCCCCACCCGCAGCCCCACCTGCAGAAGATCTGAGAGGTAGAAGCAGGCCCCCTGCCCACAGGATCCCAGGCATAGCTGGGCACGGGCACCATCCTGAAAGGGGAGCCATGTATGGACTGAACTGTGTCACCCCCAAAGTTCATATGTTGAAGGCCTGGCCCCCAATGTGACTGTATTTGGAGATAGGGCTTTAGAAGATAATTAAGGTAACACAAGTTCTTGAGGGTTAGGCCCTAATCCAATAAGAAGCAGAAGACATCTCTCCCTGCTCTCCCTTTCTGCCACAGCAAGAAGCTGGCCATCTGGAAGCCAGAAAGAGAGCCCTCCCCAAAACTGAACCCTGCCGGACTTTGACCTTGGACTTTCCAGGCTCCAGACTGTAATAAAATAAGTTTCTGCTGTTTAAGCCCCCAGTCCATGGTCCTTTGTCAGGGCAGCCGGAGTCGACTAAGACACATATTCTCTAGGGAATCTGACCAGCCCAAGAAGAAAGACCTAGAGATTATGATACTGAATGTTCCCAGTGAAGGGCTGAATCACAACCCCACAGCAGTGGCCCACAACATTGGCTCCAACTGGGAAGACTCCAGTGCAGGGCTGCCCCACCCAGGGGCTCCTTCTACCCAGCACCTGGGTGGGTGATGCAGCAGCTGGGCTCAGCAGAGACCAGAGCATCTCCAGGAGGTGTGGCGTGGGCTCCTCACAGCATCCCGGGCACCAGGAGGAAGCCATGTGGCCCTTTCTGACCAAGTGTCACACTGTATTCCCTGCAGGCTGCCCCACATTAAGGGGACTTGGGCACTGCAGAGCACATGGGATGAGAGATGGTGGAAAACACCATCTGCCAACAACACATACGCAAAAAACATCTAAGATATGCACCGAGATCCTGACAAAGACCAAAGGAGGATTTAAGTGGGAAAACCCAATTGGAATGTCCTACTCAGAAACTCCTGTCTTTCCACAGACATGGCCCTGTGCTCTGCCAAGGGAGCAAGGGAACCACACACATCGAGCCAGGAACCCACCAGCCTCCACACGTCAAGTCCAGTATCTACGCCCCAAAGCAAAGGAAAGAAGGAGCCCTGAGGCCGGTCTGCCCGCGCAGCAGCTGCCAGCAAACCATGCCCCTTCAGAAGAAGATGAAGCATCACCCACAGCCTGAAGCTGGGTCCTCCTGACCTGCTTCTCTTCACCCTCTCTACTCACAGAGACTCTTGAGTCCATCTTAGAATAATTATAAGTAAAGAAAACTCTGAAGCTTGCCCCTATACCTGTAATGCCAGCCATTCCAAGCATGACCCACCCCGAGCCCCTGACGTGACCCTCAGCAGGGCCAAGGCTCAGTCCTCACCCGTGAGGGGCCAAATTGGTCGTCACCAACACAGTCTTCACCTCCTCGACACCACCGCCGTCCACTGCGGTGTCCGGAGTTGTCACGACCACCACCTCCTCCATGTGGACGCTCACATCCGGGGTCGCCATGGTGCAGCTACGGGGACACCCGGGCCAGCGGCCTCACTCCTCCAGGGTCCCAAGTCCTGGATGAAACAAGCCAGAGTCCAAGGTTACCGGGTGGTCTCCACGTCTGCACAACAGAACCCTCAGCAGATGGCACCTCTGAGTGTCTCAAAGATCCCTCTAAATCCCAAACTATCCCTTTCTGATGAGAAGGGCTACTCCGGGCACTGGTTCTGAGGGTAGCACAAGCACAATCCACCTGTCCTTCCCCCTGGATGAGCCAAAGTCCCTGAGCAGAACGCATGGAGCTGCTCACTCCCTGAGGCAGCACAGCAGCAGGACAAGGGAGACGAGGACTGCAGGTACAACCTCTCTGCACGCGAGTTTCCTGGTGCTCACTTTCCCCACCCCCCCATATCCCCTGGCCTAAATTGAAAGGCAGCCCAAATCCCAGAACTGAGGACCAGGTGCAGATAGAAAGCACTCAGGGAGAAGTGCTCTCTCTGGTCTGGGGAAAGGGAAGGAAAACCCACTCAAGACAGGGAGAGGCAGATGCCCTGGTGTTTTTAATGACCGTTTCCATCTTTGCTGACTCTGCCCTCCGGCAAGCCCAAGCCCCTGCTAAAACCTTGCCATGGTGGCAATGGCCCAGCAGGCTCCTAAACTTGAGGGGGGGGATCTTCCTCCAGACCAGAGGAACGGGGGTCCTAAGAGCATAAGCAGTCCCTGTTGTTCTCTTGCACTCCGTCCTCTTCACTTGGCCCGGGGCACTCAGTCCCAAGATGTCACAGCACAGAGGGGACACAAAAGCCCCTGGTTTCCAGGAAAAAGCAAGGAAGGAGCACTGGAGGCAGAGCACCAGGGAGACTGCAGAGAGGAGAGAGATGCAGGTGGGACCACACACAGCCATATATAAACACCGGGGTCACCCCAAGACAGCCCATGTGCAGACCTGACCCTACAGGCAAACCAAAGATTCTGAGAGCTGACCTACAGGGTAGACCACCACTCAGGTCTCAGACTGCCCCAGATGGCACCTACAGGGCAGATCCAGAGAGCACTGCCAAGGGTGTGAAAGCTGAACTGACCACAGGAAGAAGGCTTCTAAACTGGCAGCCTGAACCCAACCAGGTCACCTTCCTCCTGTAACAAAGATGTTTACATTCAATGTTTTCATTGACTTAGACAAGACCCAGAGTCTTATTACACAGTATTAAAAGTGTCCAATGGGCCAGCCCGTGGCTCACTCGGTAGAGCGCGGTGCTGATAACACCAAGGCCACGGGTTCGGATCCCATATAGGGATGGCCGGTTTGCTCACTGGCTGAGCGTGGTGCTGACAACACCAAGCCAAGGGTTGAGATCCCCTTACCGGTCATCTTTTAAAAATAAATAAATAAATAAATAAAATAAAAGTGTCCAAAATATTTGACATGTAAAGAGCCAAGAAAGTCTGATTAATTTTCAAGGGAAAAAACAATCAAGAGAAGCCCATTCCAAGAGGACCACTGGAACCAACAGAGATCTTAAGGTGGCTACTATTCCATGCTTCAAGAGTGAGGCCAGACACTCCAGGGCCAAATGGAAAGAAAATTATAATCAAATGGACATTTGAGAATTAAAAAATATAATAACCAGGGCCGGCCCGGTGGCGCACTGGATAGTGCGCCGCTTGGGAAGCGCGGCGGCACCCCCGTCCGAGGGTTCGGATCCCCCAGTGGCGCACTGTATAGTGCGCCGCTTGGGAAGCGCGGCGGCACCCCCGTCCGAGGGTTCGGATCCCCCAGTGGCGCACTGTATAGTGCGCCGCTTGGGAAGCGCGGCGGCACCCCCGTCCGAGGGTTCGGATCCCCCAGTGGCGCACTGTATAGTGCGCCGCTTGGGAAGCGCGGCGGCACCCCCGTCCGAGGGTTCGGATCCCCCAGTGGCGCACTGTATAGTGCGCCGCTTGGGAAGCGCGGCGGCGCTCCCGTCCGAGGGTTCGGATCCCACATACAGACCGGCTCCCGCTCACTGGCTGAGCGAGGCGCGGGAGCAGCGCCGAGGCTTGCAATCCCGTTCCCGGTCCCCGGTCCGGTACGGGGGCAACACTGAGGGTTGCGATCCGTTGCCGGACACGGAAAAAAGACAAAAGACAAAAAAAAAAAAAATAATAATAATAATAATATAATAACCAAAGTAAATGGTTCACTGGACGGGCTCCATGGCAGAATGATGATGACAGAGGAAGGGGCCCATGAGTTCAAAGTCCTGAACAGCACAAAGAAGGCTGGAAAAACAAAATGAACAGAGCCCTAGGGGACCCACAACAGCACTGACAAGCTGAGCATTTGTGTTCCTAGAGTCCCAGAAGGACAGGAAGAAAATACTGAAAAAGTATCTGAAGAAATCATAGCCATACACTTCCCATTTTTTCCCCCTCACTTCCCAAATTTATTGAAAGACATAAACATACACATTCAAGAAGTTTGGCAAGCCTCAAACAGGATAAACTCAAATCCATGCCCAAGTTACAAACAAATTGCTAAAACCAAAAGCAAAGTAAAAACTCTCAAAATAGTCAGATAAAAAATTCTCAGGGGCCAGGAGGCAGGGGTGACATTTTTAATGTGCTGAAAGAAAATAATTGTTAACCCAAGATTCCACAACCAGCAAAAAGACCCTATAGAAACGAAGGCAAATAAAGACATTTTCAGACAAAGGACAATTAAGAGTGCTGGTCACAAGCAGACTCGCTGTGAAAGAAATGCAAAGGGAAGGGACATTGTACCAGAGGGAGACCCAGAACTTCAGAAAACAAACAAGAGCAACCAGAGTGGTCAACATCATAAACTATTCTCCTCTTAGGTTCTTTAAATACATATAACAGCTGAAAGCAAAAATTTTAACACTGCCTGGTGAGGTTTTCAGTACATGTGGACATATAGCAGCTGCAACACAACAGGGTGACAGTCTGTGTGGTGGCATGGCTGCCACACCCATGGGAAGTGGCACAATATTGTTCTACATAGGCTGTGAAAACTTAAGTCCTTCAGTAGGTGAGTGGATAAACTGACAGCTTACATTCCAGACAATGGAAAATTATTCAGAGACAAAAAGACTCCTGGAGGAATCTTAAATGCATATTACTAAGTGAAAGAGGTCAATCGAAAAAGGCTGCATGCTGTACGATTAACTGTATGACATTCTGGGAAAGGCACAACTATAGAGACGGTAAAAAGATCACAGGTTGCCAGCAGTTGAAAGAAGAGATGGATGAATAGGCAGAGCACAGGGGACTTTTAGGGCAGTAAAACTATGCTGTATGATACTGTAACAGTGGATACAGACACATTCGTCCAAACCCCCAGAATGTACAACACCAACAGTGAACCCTAATGCAAACTTTGGACTTTGGTGATTATGATGTGTCAATAGGGGTCATGGGTTGCAACAAACGCACACTCCTCAGGACACTGCCCATAGGGAAGGCTGGAGAAAACAGGCATGGGAACTCTGTGCACTTCCAGCTCAATTTTGCTGTGAATCTACAATTTCTCTAAAAAATGAAGTACACTGATTTTTTTTAATTAGGCATATGTATTACAATGGATGAATAAAGAACATAACAGAGAGTGAAAAGACAAGCTACAGACTGGAAGAAAATACTTGCAAACCACATGTGCAACAAAGAACTTGCATCCAAGAACAACACAAAGAACAACCATAAGAAAACAAACCACCCAATTTTTAAGATGGCCAAAAGATGTGAGTGGATGCCTCACCAAAGACGACAAAGGATGGGGACAAGCACATGAGAAGATGCTACACACCACCTAACCCACGGGGAATGTCACCTGGAGCCTCATGATGTACTACTACACATCTTTTGGAACGGCTTGTAAAAAGTCACTGCAAAAAGCTGACGACACCCCGTGCTGCAAGGAGGCAGAGCGACTGGAACTGACACACACTGCTGGCAGAATGCAAAACCTGCGTCTAAGGGCCGGCCCGTGGCTCACTCAGGAGAGTGTGGTGCTGATAACACCAAGGCCACGGGTTCAGATCCTATATAGGGATGGCCAGTTAGCTCACTGGCTGAGCGTGGTGCTGACAACACCAAGCCAAGGGTTAAGATCCCCCTACCGGTCATCTTAAAAAAAAAAAAAAAAAGCAGAAAGATTTAAAATGAATAACCTAATGATGAATTGCATGAAATTACAAAAGCAAGGACAAACAAATATAGATATAGATATAGATATAGATATAGATATAGATATAGATATAGATATAGATATAGATATAGATATAGATATAGATATAGATATAGATATAGATATAGATATAGATATAGATATAGATATAGATATAGATATAGATATAGATATAGATATAGATATAGATATAGATATAGATATAGATATAGATATAGATATAGATATAGATATAGATATAGATATAGATATAGATATAGATATAGATATAGATATAGATATAGATATAGATATAGATATAGATATAGATATAGATATAGATATATATACACACACATATATATATATATATATACACACATTTTTTTTTTTTGGCTGGCCAGTACTGGCAACTGAACCCTTGACCTTGGTGTTACAACACCACACTCTAACCAGCTGAGCTAACTGGCCAGCTGTCTGATATTTTCAAAAAGACAAAACGGTAGTGAAAGGGAACACATCAGTGCACGCCAGTGGTTGGGGGAGGAGGACGTGACCATCAAAGGACAGCATAGGAGAGATTTTGAGGGAGATGGAATGTCCTGTATTCTGAATGTTAGGGAAGTTATTCAAATGCATACATGTTATAATTTATAGAACTGTATGCCAAAAAAAAGTCATTTTTACCATTTATAAATCTTTTTAAAAACTAAATAGGCACCATCAAAGGACAGCATAGGAGAGATTTTGAGGGAGATGGAATGTCCTGTATTCTGAATGTTGGGGAAGTTATTCAAATGCATACATGTTATAATTTATAGAACTGTATGCCAAAAAAAAGTCATTTTTACCA